GAGACTTTAGATAGTCAGGGCGGATCTCATCCACACCCGGAGCCTTGCCACCATGGAGGCTACCAACCACCTTGGTGACCTCAGCCAGGGAGATGGATGTACCCGCCCCAACATCCTCAGCCTCTGCCTCTGTAACGGAGGACGTGACGGGGGGATTGAGGAGAACCTCAAAGTATTCCTTCCACCGCCCGACAATATCCCCAGTCGAGGTCAGCAGCTCTCCACACGCACCGTACATGGTGCTGGCAAAGAACTGCTTCCCCCTCCTGAGGCGTCGGATGGTTTGCCAGAATCTCTTCGAGGCCGACCGATAGTCATGCTCCATGGACTCTCCGAACTCCTCCCAGTCCCGGGTTTTTGCCTCTGCAACAGCCCGGGCCGCGGCACGCTTGGCCTGCCGGTACTGGACAGCTGCCTCAGGAGTCCCCCGAACCATCATGGCTCGATAGGACTCCTTCTTCAGCCTGACAGCATCCCTTACTGCCGGTGTCCACCACCGGGTTCGGGGGTTGCCGCCGGGACCAGCACCAGAGACCTTGCGACCACAGCTACGAGCCGCCGCATCGGCGATTGAGGCAGAGAACATGGTCCACTCGGACTCCATGTCCCCCTCCTCCGCCGGGACCTGGGAGAAACTCTCCCGGAGGTGTGAGTTGAAAGTCCGTCTGACAGGGGGCTCAGCGAGACGTTCCCAGCAGACCCTCACTATACGCTTGGGTCTGCCAGGTCTGACCGGCTTCTTCCCCTGCCAGCGGATCCAACTCACGACCAGGTGATGATCGGTTGACAGCTCCGCCCCTCTATTTACCCGAGTGTCCGAGACACGCGGTCGAAGGTCAGATGATACGACAACAAAGTCAATCATCGACCTCCGGCCTAGGGTGTCCTGGTGCCACGTGCACTGGTGGACACCCTTGTGCTCGAACATGGTGTTCGTGATGGACAAACCGCGACTGGCACAGAAGTCCAACAACTGAACACCGCTCGGGTTCAGATCAGGGGGGCCGCTCTTCCCGATCACCCCTCTCCAAGTGTCACTGGCGTTTCCCACATGGGCGTTGAAGTCCCCCAGGAGAATAACGGAGTCCCCGGGCGGTGCACCGTCCAGTACCCCTCCCAAGGACTCCAAGAAGGCCGGGTACTCTACACTGCCGTTAGGCCCGTAGGCCGTCACAACAGTGAGAGACTTGTCCCCCACCCGGAGGCGGAGGGACGCGACCCTCTCATTCACCGGGGAGAACTCCAACACGTGGCGGCTGAGATGGGGGGCAATGAGAATGGCCACCCCAGCTCGCCGCCTCTCCCCGCGGGAAACTCCAGAAAAGTGGAGCGTCCAACCCCTCTCAAGGAGTTGGGTTCCAGAGCCCAAGCTGTGTGTGGAGGTGAGGCCGACTATCTCTAGTCGGTATCGCTCAACCTCCCCCACGAGCTCGGGCTCCTTCCCCCCCAGTGAGGTGACGTTCCACGTCCCAAGAGCCAGATGTTGTGTGTGCGGACTGGGTCGCCGAGGTCTCCGCCTTCGACTGCCGCCCAGTCCTCTCAGCACCGCTTCACCACGGACCCCTCTGCAGGTGGTGGGCCCACAGGAGGGACTGCCCACGTCATCCCTTCGGGCTGAGCCCGGCCGGGCCCCGTGGGCTAAGGCCCGGCCACCAGGCGCTCGCATACGGGCCCCGACCCCAGGCCTGGCTCCAGGGTGGGGCCCCGGCTGCGCCATGCCGGGCGACGTCACTGTTTTCATTTCTGTGCTGTCCATGGTGTCTTCTGGACTGCTCTTTGTCTGACTCGTCACCTGAGACCGGTCTGCCATGGGAGGCCCTACCAGGGGCATGAAGCCCCAGACAGCATAGCTCCCAGGATCATCCGAGTACTCAAACTCCCCCACCACGTTAAGGTGGCAGTCCAGGGGGGGAGTGAAAATGAATACTAACATAATAATTCCTGTGGGAGGTCACTAAAAACTGGTCCCACATGTGACAAACAGATATGGATTACTGTGGTAATTATGGTTGGAAAGTCCATTGGCACAGATTGGCAGCATTGCTTCTGTCAGTGTGGGCAGCTGTGGCAAGAGTACTGGCTGAGCACCTCATGTGTGGAGAATATAATGTTTGTTTTCTGAGCTACTTGTGCCATACAAACCTCAACTGCATCTTTCTTCTGTGCACGTTTGTTTATCTTATCTTAATGTAGTTTTTGTTATGACATATTCGGTCACCTTTATCATTATCGCTACTTAGTTGCAGAAACAGTGAATTAACGTTTTAATTTTGTCAACCCTTTTATTATATATTTTTTCTGTATAAAACATGTTGTTATTATAAATAGGTATGTGTCAATATGTTGCATTTTGCACTGAAAAGCCCTGCTGGCAGGTTGGTTTATGTGGTAATGCTATAATGACTAACCTCACACCTCTGTGTCAGGATTCACTTTTAACTAATGCATTCGATTATGCATGTCTCAATAGTCTGAGTCTAAACAAAGACGGGGCACTGGTGTAGAGGCGGTGTTTTCCATGTCACTGTAATTACTGTACACATAATGGTGTCTGTCTGAAGCTCTCATTAGACTCTCGCTCTGAGTCAGGCCCTGACAGTGTGGGATGGAAACATTACAAAAGGAGAAGGGCCATTATCACTTGCACTGAAATGAGAGAGCGACTGATGCACTAAGAAACCCCTCATGTAACGGGGCCTGCTGGACACAAGTGCATCCAATCTGCCAATGTGTCTGGAAGAATGAGAGCTTAATCCAACATCTTACAGGCACCATGCAGCCCGGCCACTATTTGTCCAAACAATCTCATCTTTCCCCTGGCCTGATCCCTCCTGCCAGAGTTGCCATCTTCAAGCTTCATGCGGACAGGCGTCTCCCCTCGGGGCCTGCTGTTGTTGACGTATAGTTACCACCATGTCGTCCTGTCTGCTCTCCTCACTCATGGGTTATGTTCCAAAGCAGACGCGACACGAGCAGAGCCACAAGGTCTAATCTGGGAGCACGCAGCGGTGGCACCAAAGCTCTCGAGTCCCATCATGACGACCCCAATGACTGCATCCTGTCACGGCTAGACTCACACACGCCATCACACTGTCCCTGTGTTTGGGGCACATTAGCAGACAAGACTGAAACGTTGCTCTGGAACCGTATTATGTGATGCTGGTCAGCTGTAGCCAAGGGACAAGCCTCTATCTGTCTGATTGTTTGTTAAAGCAGGAGGCCGAGGGCAGAGATGGAGCCGTGTGTTTGGAGCATTAGACCAAAGCAGGCTGCAAGGCTCTCTGTGGAAGTGTATCATGAGTAATGCCTCATCAAACACACAGAGAAAAAGGAGGAGCAGGTCACACCGCGCTGCTCCACTGAGCTTACGTCTGCGCCTGTTCGTGCGTGAGAATGTTTTTGTGGCTTAGAACACAGGTAGTCTTCTACAGTACGTCTTTATGATGGGAAATAGCAAAAAGCTTGCTTGATCAAAACAAAAAAATCCCCAAATCTCCTTTGATGTTGTTTTTGTGCCGGTAAAAGAGTCAAAAAGGTGAGAATTTGTGAGAGGAGACAAGCAAAACGCGAGGAAAGGAAAGCAAATGCCAAGGATTTACAGCTGGAGGTCTGGGAACAAGTTCATCTGTGAGCATTTTTCCATTCACTTTTGTACGTGGATTGTAAAATATATGAAACATATAAATAAATGTATAAAATTAACAGGTTTTTGAAGTTCAGTAAAAAGGCATGAGTTTTTTTTTTTTCTTTTAAACCCTCATTATGTATGTAAGGGATACGCTGAATATGTATTCAGCGTTAAAAAGCCATCTTTTATCAATACAGTAATTTATACAGATGGTCGTTGCAAATATAAAAAGTGCAATGATGTGAAGACTCCACTAGATGGCATTGTTGCTCCATCATAGCAGAGAGAAGCCGCTCAGAGCAATAGGACTGGGATGGAGGGATTCATAGGGAGACAAAAGCAGAAGAGGGCTTTCTCTGTCTGTAGCCTCTCTGTCGTCTGGCCGCTTGAAGGCATCGCGCGCTCTGCTCATCCCAACAACTCCCAAAGTTAATGACTTCACGCATTACCGCAAATGGATCTTGGTTTTTACATTAAAGCACAGATGTAATGAATACAGTGGGCTGGCGCTGCTTAGTGGCTGTCCCGGGGTAAGGCTTTATGTTAAAATAAAGCTGATAGCACACAGCGTACAAGGGGGAGAACTTTAGTGATTCTAGTCTGGCTGCCTGCTCTGTATGCAGCCGGCATGTGTGTGTGTGTGCTCGTAAAGCTGCTGACACCTTCTCTTTACCTGGCCACATCACCTATAATTGGCTATTGGAATATCAGTCACAGGCCTGGTAGCCTTTCAGACACACCCACATCACAGTCTGGTTGTTAACACTACGGGAACAGCTCTCTCAAAGATCTCCACACGCGCCTGCTATACCAGACAAACGGGAACTCTTTTCAAATAATTCCTTCTTCTGTCTTGGATTGTGAGACTAATAAAAACACTGAGCACATCACATTGCATTAGTAAAGAGGGTAGGAACCAGAATCAATCTAGTGATGGGGGGAGAGCGAGCGGACAGGCAGGCGGGGTAATTGTGGCGAGTCAGACATTTTCGCTCCCACGTCCAACATGAATCGATAACTAGCCACGTCCTGACTTCCTGCGCACGGCTCTGAGAGGAGACGTGCTCTTAGCCTGTCCGGAGCCCAGCTATGCAGACCTATGACCCCATGACGAGAGTATGCTAAATGCACCACGTAGGACCCTTTCAAGACTGGAGACAGAGGAGCTGATTGCGTTTACTGTAGAACCTTTTGAGGTAATAAAAACTGGCATTAAATCCTTAGAATAAGTAGGTCCAGTTTGCCATGAAAAGACTATTAAACGACTTTTTTATAGCAGATAGGAGCTGTTAAAGTGCGTGGATAAATGTGCAACGGCGGTGACAACGATCGATCAATGCATACTTCTGAATTGGATCAGTCTATTACTCACACATAGGCTTGAGCTGGCCAATCAACTCCTCCTTGGTCCACTTGGCCCACTCCTTCTTGTCCGTATTGATGGAGCACAGGATTGGACCACATGGTTTCCCACAATCCTCTATGGCAGGGACATTCAGATAGTGGACAAGCACGATATCAGGGTT